CTGATCCGACGGGTACGAGGTTTTTCGTAAGTGCTGCAAAGTAATTCCCCTTTCTGCTGCGGGTACTTGTTTGGATTCCTTTTTGTGACCGGAGACATCCTGAGGCACAGAACATAATCTACTAGCTCTTCTCCATCCGATGTAATGGATGTAATGGGCAAACAGTCATTTCCGAAAAATTGACGGGCTTCACGAAAATCCCGCTTCGTGTTAATATAAGTTCCATCTCTGTCTCATCCTGAAAACTGTAACAAACGCTGGTACGTAGCTTCTGATATCCTTGCTGCATGATGACAGCGATACTGTCTGAGTGGACTGATGCTTTGCTCGTTACTCTGTACCACAAAAGCCACCAACCAGATCAAGGAAAGAACAAGACATTCTTTTTCTGCTGGAGTTAAAGCAACCATTATCTTTATGCCTTTCACCGAAGATTATTGTGCTTTTGCTTTATCTTTACTTTCATTAACTGGTCACATTTGTTTCCCGTGAAAACAATGTATCGTTATTTCGTTCCATAGAGTTTCACTGTACGGTTAAAATTTGTGACATTTGTTAGGTCTGTTTCTTTGCTATATCTGTTTCGTTCACGATGGCAATATATTTGTTTAGACTTTATTTATAAGGCAGAATGAATTGTTAGTTGATCTCGTTACGTGACAGACTATCACATGACGTGTGCAGGGTTTGGCGGGTTTGGCGTGAATTAAAAATGGCGAAGATGTCCTCTGCTAATTAGGCAGTGGTTTAGTCAGGAAAGACAGGATACTAAAAATATCACCATACCTTGGTAAAGAAAGGCCAACTGTATATATTTATAACGAGAGAAGTCCTGCTGTTGCATTTTAGTTCATGCAAGGACTGCCTGAAAACTGCGCAATTTCCAGCTCGCACGCACTGATTTTCAACCATACTATTCGTAACGGTTTATTCTCGTTAAAATGAACATTTACACAAAATAACCTCATTTACTTTAAGTCGTACCTGCAGCTACCTGTAGACAAAAAATGGCAAGACACGAGGACCCATCCGCGCTACGCCGGAGAAATTCGAAAATTAGGTTGTCAGAAAAATTGTAAACTTTCAATTCTTCGATTACTGTCAGTATTGAAAATGAATGCAACAGACAGTAGACTGGTAGACAATTTGTGGATCTGACCATACATATATATTTTTTAATATTTGTCTAAATTTTTATTTTCTTTTTCAGCGAACGTTAAGCCGCATATCTCATAGACCGAATTTATGTAATATTGAAAACGGTTTCTTATCTTGCATTTTAATAATTGTTAAAAATTCGATTTTAAAGAAAACTATTTGTCTTCGGATTCCTATATACGGCTGGCGGGATATTTTGCCTTCTTTACGGCCTACGGCTAACGGTTAAACAATTTTTCTTACGGTTTAAAGAAACCTTAGAAATTAATTACATAGTGCATCCTAAAAGATACTTTGAAAGCTAAAATTAGTGCATGGTGTTTTGTCATCAACACTCAAAGTGAGGCCACAATCCTTGATTGCGAAGCGAGACGACAAGCATTCCCGACCTCATCGTATCCCTCCACCAGAAGTTGCCTCCACACAAATGATGTGTAACTGTCAAATCCTTTCTTTTTTTTCCTTCTTAGTGCAAATTTATGCCTTGGAAGCGATAAAAGAGGATTCAATTGCACACACTGTACAGGTATGGTTCTTAGACTTTTTACACTGGTGGAAACGGGTGGAAATAAGTGTGGTTCAGAACGTGCAATTGAGGGTTACTGTGCATTGATTTCGGCATGTTGTGCATGGTTGGTTTGGAAATTGAGCATGACGGGAATATCTCTCTTGATCTTTCTCATCTCTTGCACAGAGAAAATTAGGTTGTATATTAACTTTTCCAAGACCAGTATAACAAAGTTGAATTGCATCCCTTTCCTAAAAGAAAATGACATCATTTTCCTCTCACCATAGTTTCAAATTGTAACTTGGCAGAAAATTGGTAATTAAAGGCTTTAAGGGAGCTACCTAACTTCACCGTTTGGACATAGTTTAGCTTAAATTTTTAAGTTCTTCGTTTGCAATCCAGGTTAATCTTCTCCATCCTTTTCCATCCTTGTTCCTTTATGGTTCATTATTATCTCTGTGGTGTTTATCTATCTGAATAAACTTTTAATATTTCCAGAATTTCTTTCGATTAAAGGTCAGTTTGTTCGAGGCCAGAATATCTCAAAATAACTTGACTGAGCTCTAAAAAGAACGCCCAACTTCAACTGAACCAGGAAAATCCAGCTATTTTTGTATTTCGACTTAAATACTCCAGGCATGGTGTACATCACACACCGTATCTTGAGGTGCTTTCAAGTTTGAATAATCTGTGATTGTTCCGTTCTGGCTATTGTATTACAAAATGACATAGATCATATCTGCAATATGTTTCCATTGGTTGGAACTGAGACTAACAAACTACTTAATTCATTTCTTCTTCATAGGAATCATATATTCTCAACACTCCAAGAGAGTTACGACAACAAGAACGCAGAAAGCTGGTTGAGAAGTTTTGTCAAAAGACTGGACACAATGCCATGCCAGACCCTTTTCACTTGGCAGTGATTCCTTCTCTCAAAATACTATACTGTGTAACACCTAAAGCGGCTTCCAGGCAGTGGAGGACAATGCTGTATCACTTTAACAAAGGCCTAAGAGGGAACTTGCGATTGAATTCATTTCCTCCTGACCAGCAAAAGCGGATGTTGCAAACATATTTCAAGTTCACGTTTGTTCGTGAGCCGTTCGAGCGCATTCTGTCGGCGTACAAAGACAAGTTTATCAATCTAAGGCAGGTATCCGTAGACCGCAAAATTCGTGAATTTCACGGCAAAAAAATCCTGAAGAACTTCCGTCCACATGCTTCAAAGAGTGCACTTAAAAAACTCGATGACATCACTTTCCGTGAATTTATTCAATATTTAGTAACCAAAGGAAGCAACAAGAGCACGCCTGTTATGGACTGGCACTGGGACAATTACGTCAACATATGTGGAATGTGTGCCGTCAGCTATGACTTTATAGGTCATTACGAAACTTTTGATCAAGACTTGGCAGATTTCAAAGAAGCAGCGAGGTTATCGCCTGAAGTGGCAAAGAGATTCGATGCTAGCGCCAACAATAAATCCGATACCGCCTCCTCTTTACTCCGTTATTACTCGCAGATTCCCATAGAATGGATCGACATCCTTGGTCGGTTTTTCAGAGCCAACTTCGAAATGTTTAATTACGACTTTCCGGGACCTCTTAGGAGTCTTTTTTAGTAAAAGAAAAGAACACAATGAGGATGTGACAGTTTGATTACTTTTTCATTGATACAGCTTTTCGGGACCCTTGTATAGTCTACATGAAAAAATAAGTCCGCAATGCGTACTTGTGAGCTCATACTTAGTTTAATTCCATTCGGTTTGAGTTTGTTTTTAAAAGTCAGTATCTGGTTGTTGAATTCCTTTAAGTGAGAAGGCAATCACTGCAAAGACAAAGGTGTTACTTTGAAACTGGAGACATTGTACTCGTGGTAGAAAACTTGTGGCCCCTTGGTCGCATCCTAGAAGTAAAACCAAACAAGAGAGACGGGCTTGAGGGGAGAGTCAGGCTGAAAACGTAGTCCTGGAACGTCCCATCAACAATTTCGTTCTTCTAGAGGCTAACAGACTCTAGGAAAGCAGATAGACATTGTTGATCTTGATGTCCTCGATAGACTGCGAGCAGTCTCTCTTTTGCTCGGAAATCCGTATGGGAAGAACGCAATGAAAAAATTAAAAAGTGTGACTGCGTGTGTGACATGCCAGCCGCGAGTAGCGAGGGCGGCTCGCAAATTCGCATACCACGCTCGCACGCTCACGCCCCACTGGTCGCGTGTGTTGTGTGTTTCTTTGCGTTCTTCCCCACGGATTTTCGAGCACAAGAGAAACTGCTCGCAGCCTACGTCCTCAACCAAGAAGTTTGCTTGTAATGCCAGAGAACAGTTGGTTCTTTTTATTGTCTTGATTGTGATGAACCATTTCGATTGGATTTGGTGACAATATATTGCTCAAGTTTTTCCGTTTGAATCACTCAACTATGTCTAAATGCTTTCAGTTCGCATAGTAGGTAGGTAGGATTCAAACGTGCGTGAGATTTCCTCTACGTGCGTTACACTTGATTTGAAATTTAACTCGTCGATCATAACATAAAGATATAAACATAAAATCTTTATTTCAACACGATAAGAATAAAAGCTACAAAGCTTTTGGGGTCGTGTACACTACTACATTAAAAAACGTTAATTAAAATATATACATGCAAAATACGAATCAACAAATTTCAAACGGATTTCACTGTAAAAATTAACGTTAAAAAACACATGTGATTCGTTGCGTAAGAGTTTTGTTCAATACGTATTATAACATGCAGCAATGGTGCCCATTGCATCAAGTTTAAACAGCTCACAACAATAGGACGAAATATTTGTAAGTTGTTAGTCTTTATCTTTTTTATTCTGTTTGTCTGCTGAGAAAGGTCAAACAGGAAACCACAGCATCACAAAAAAGCTTTATTTTACCGAACACCGTGGCGTGAAAACACAAACATCGCACACCGAAGGGTTTGAGATCACCGCAACACCGCAAGTTGGGATTTTATTTACCGCATCACCGCTTAAAAAACAATAGAACAGGCTTAAATTTTGGCCTGTAGGCAGCTTTGAAGCTCCCATTCGATTTACGTACATAAAAATCTTCTCGCTCGCCCAAAGCATAGGGGACCCGAACACTGCATCAGCACTAACATATTAATCATTTACAAAATAAATGCATTGTTATTTACCTGTATTCCTGGGTCTCTTTGAGCCGTTTAGAAGGATTTGACTAGAAGCCAAGGCGGTTTACATTTCAAATATCATCTTGTTCGCTGCTTTGCAGATGTGACATTCCGATTTCGCCTCGAGTTTTCAATATCTTCATTAACTATTAACTCTCATCGGGGGAGAGATCCTCAGGTTTCCTAAAATCCGCAAACCTTCCACATTGACGATGATTATATAAGATTATGCAATAATATTGCATAATCTCACAAAAAGAGAACTTTCTCGGGCCCAAACTCCTTCGTCACTCTCTTAGCCCTGCCTGTTTGGAGATGTCCTTCTAAATGGAGAGGAACACTGGGGTTTGCGGAATTGCCAATTGCTTAGATTGGAAAAAATTTACTGCGATGATCATTCTTCACTTTCAACTAAATGGTTTAGCGCGAAATAGAAGGCATTTGCTTTTGTGAGTCTTGTGACATGAAGAAATTTCATCTACGTAAGTCAGTCAGTTAATCAAACGTGAGAGACACAAAGAAAAGTACTGATTAGTAGCAAGGAACAGGAAATTGGAGCTCGTAA